CCCCATTGTCCCTAGCCACTGGAATACGATGTTTTAGGGAAGGGAAGGTACCCAGATTTCCTTGTGGCTTAAGTCTAAAGAGTATTTTAAAAGTTTAAATGCTGTCAACCTCCTTGAATTTTCCTTAATCTTTCTAGTCACAAATATTAAATGGATTGACCAAGTTTCTGGATAGTATGTTTGGTTCAAGCTGCATTTTATGGATGTTAATAAACCAATTGCTAAAAAAGCCTGCACAAACAAACCTATTCCCAGTAAAAATATATGACAGAGCAAGAGAAGTGAAGTTACACATGTTCTAAGGAGTACTGTTTACGGGATAATCTTCCTTTACAAAAGAAGTACGTGAATGAAAGTTGTTCTGTTGTAATCTAAGAAGGTGAAAAGATTTTTAAGGCACTGAACTTACTGAAATTACTTCTACTCTTTAAGTATTTTAACTTCAAGCCCACATAGGTATATGGAAAAAGTCATTAGCTGTAACTCATTAGCTCTCTTGAGGCAGCTGCTAGCTTTTAAAGATTAATGGTTTTCATAATGAAATGTAAAGTCTGGGTTGTAGCTGTAGTACATTCAGTGCAAAAATTTCAGTTGTAGCAGACTGGGGCTTGCAGGGCAGAGGTTGAGCACCCACCATTGTCGGTTAAATTTGTTGTCTTTAAACCTACAAATAATTCAGTCTTTGTAGAGTGTCATTATGATGTAAATACACCAAGCCTCACCCTAAACTGATTTCCCTTTTAATCCAGATTCCACAACAAGGAGAAGTACTATCAGATCTCAGAATTTAATGAGAGCAGTGACATAGTGGAAATTACTCTCTTAAGGTTATCAAATGCAAACATTCCAATGATCTCTTCAAGAGCAAAAGGATGAAGGTGCTTAAAAGCACTGCCAGGTGTATTGAGATGCAAAATCCAGTGGCTCTTGTTAAAAACTAGCATACCCCCGAAATATTTGCATTACTTGTCATGAACTAGGGTGGAAATGTAAGAGGAAGTAGAATAAAATTCTGCTACATATGATTTTTTCCATGCATTATGCTTGTAAGAATGAAAAATGGAAGTAGATTTTATGCTCTTTGAAACTGCTGAATCACGGTTCTTCCACTCGGCCTGGGGAGATGGAGATCAGCGGGGATTTCCTCAGAGTGCTGATGCAAAGCCTGTGCTCCGAGAACACTGCCTGACAGCAGCTCGCCCCTATCAGTGGAAAATATCTCTACTGTAATGCTGGTTTGAATGAGTAGGGACTGCAGAACTGATGATGGAGGCTTAAATGCCCTTTCAAAGGACTGACCTTGTGAAAAGAGCAGAGTTAGAGAATCTTTTGAGGTAGATTGTTTATTTTGTACCACTGTACTTAAATATACCCCTGAATTGCCCCTCTAACTGAAAGACAGGGAAATTGAGTGCCAATTCTGATGTCTCACTCTGCAGTCAGGACTATCCCAGGTTGTCTTTTCCTTTGTAGGTGTATTTTCCTGCTTTTAATTTGAGAAATTCTGGCAACTGGTCGAAGTTGCTGCCTGTCTCTGGGCTGTTACAAAACTAAAAAGTCCAAATGGTTCCACGAGGTGCATGCAGACAATCCACCTCAAGTCTACCGCAGATAGCTTTATTTCTGTTTGCAGCCTTTCGGAATGTGGTAGCCTTGCTGGCATCTCTGCTAAGGAAAAGGAACATTGCTGTGTAAATGTTAACCGTAATACACAAAACCCCTCAAGAGACCTGCTGCTGTGTAAAAGCCATGCTGCTGGTCTGTGGGGCTGCCGTGGCTCCACGGCAGAACGGTCACGCGCGGTCAGAATCCTCGTGTTGGTTCCTCCCGGTGATTTCTTGGCCATGGGAAATACAGGTTGGGCCTGATGCTCGAGGAGAGACTTGGAGCAGTTCTTCACTCCTCCGTTAGTAAGAATATCAGTAGGTTTACAGAAGCATCAAGCCACAGTTGACTATTCACGTCTTCCTGCGCGAGGCTAGAACTGTGATGACTTACGACCTGAGGAGGAGATGTATGAAGGTCTGGTTTAGACCCGTCAGTCAAAAGGGCTTTAAAATAAGGAATTTCAGTATATTGTGATGCTTTCCCTTTTCTCTAAATTCAGGTATGTGGTTGATTTACACTTCAAGGGAAGGGCAAAATTCAGGAAAGGGGAGGAAAAAAAAAAAAGCCTGGTTTTGTTTCTTTGTGAAGAAATAATTGAGAAGTAGTACTAAACAAATATTTGAGTTTTCTTACAGTTTTTTTCCTACTTTTTCAGCTTTTGTTATTAGTGTTTTAAGTTTTCCTGTTCAACCTTAATCGACTGATTCGGTGGAAGGTTATGTCACATAATTGTACTGGAGTTTCCAGGAAGTGCTGCATATTGTAGAATTCCATGGGAAATTATGCCAGTTTGCAGCATTTCACTTTCTTTTTTTTTTTTTTTTTTTTTTTTTCCC